CCAGCTCTGACTGGGGGATCCCAAGGCGCTCCCAGGCCAGCGAAGAGATATAATCCCTCCACCTGGTCCTAGGTCTACCCCTTGGTCTCCTCCCAGCTGGACGTGCCTGGAACACCTCCCTAGGGAGGCGCCCAGGTGGCATCCTTACTAGGTGCCCGAACCACCTGAACTGGCTCCTTTCGACTCGAAGGAGGAGCGGTTCAACTCCGAGTCCCTCCCGGATGACTGAACTTCTCACCTTATCCCTAAGGGAGACGCCAGCCACCCTGCGGAGAAAAGCCATCTCGGCCGCTTGTATCCGCGATCTCGTTCTTTCGGTCATGACCCATCCTTCATGACCATAGGTGAGGGTAGGAAGGAAAATGGCCCGGTAGACAGAGAGCTTTGCCTTCTGGCTCAGCTCCCTTTTCGTCACAACGGTGCGGTAAAGCGACTGCAGTACCGCTCCCGCTGCTCCGATTCTCCGGCCCATCTCACGCTCCATTGTTCCCTCACTCGAGAACAAGACCCCGAGATACTTGAACTCCTTCACTTGGGGATAATCATGAATTATCATTATACGCACAAAAGAAAAGTGTATATTTTTCTCATGTTGTTGATTATATAACGAGTAATAACTTTATTGGGAGAGGACATCTTTACCAAACAACAATTAAATGGCTTTAAACTAACATTTGCTGCAACTGCTTTCAAATTTCAGTTACCATTTTGTTCATAAAAACTATCCATTAAATACATTTTCAGTTTAGGTTAATGATATTTCTCTTATCTGAACCATGAACCTGCAAACCATTCGTTATTCTATTGTTGTAAGGTCTTCTTGTTATGCATTTGAAAATCCCTGCTTCTAGAAATAGCCATATAAGAAAAGGTCATTGTTTTAGTATCATTATAAGTTGTTGTTTCTGCCATCTGAGGACAAATCTTTCTTTACATCACCTTTTAATTTGATCAAACGAGCGGACCACACGGCAACACTTCACTGTACTGCTTATACAATTATACATTCTGCATATCGTACAGTGTGACTGTAATTGACTGGAGAAAATAATGAGGGTGTAATCACAGTCTCTTATGTGCACTGCAAGTTGTTGTGATCCCATTTTACATTTATTTAATCAACCGAAGACACTTCATATTGTATCTCAGCTTGGATTCCCTGCGAGTCCGAGCGGTGATTGTTCCCAGGAACCTGAAGTACTCGTGTCAAATCTACATCGCACTTAAAGAGGAACAAGAGATGCTGGGATTTACACTGCGGCACTTCAGGTGAGCAGATCTCTGGGAGGAGAGGGAGCGGTTGAATAATTTTAGTTTAAGAAGGTTTAAAACAGAGGGAAATGAACAGGAAGTGTCAGCCATGATAAGAGCTGTTTGATTTCTCTAGATCAGGGGTGTCCAAGCTTTCTTCATCTGAGAGCTACTTTGAAAAGATGAAAGTGCCCAAGAGCTACTTGCATCACATCGCTTACATTTATTCACATAGCCCTCATCAGTTGAATTAAGCTACTTTTGTACACGTGTGAAATTGCAATACCTAAAGCTTATCAAAAACCTTAACTTCACATCAAGGTCCAAGAGAAAAGAGAAAAACATTTCACTTCTTATTATGGCCCACAAAGTAATCGCCTTAATCACCACCGTATAAACATCTTATGGCACATGTGTAAAATAAGTGCATTCACTCTTTTTCACAGTCAGTGAGATGAATGGCACGGCATGGAGACCACAATAGAGGTGTATTCTGGACCCACTTAGGTTCACTCTAATAGAGTCATTTCATTTTTAATCTTCATTTTTGTTCTGTATTTAGATTTCATTCATGCCAGAAAAAGCAGCTTTACAAAGGTCTGTAGAACAGAACCAAATAAAGCAGACATGTTCAGTGCTGCTTGGTGAATGTTCTTAGAGTTTTCTGGGTCTACAAGGCTCCAGAAATGTTGGGAGTTTTGCTGAGACTTAAGCTGAACATGATTTTGGAGATGTATAACCTCCATCTCCACATGATTGACACTGAACAGTTCAGCCATCTTCTTCTTTTTCTTCGTCTTGACATTAAATTATAAACCATAATAAATCAACTGTAGGTCTTGCCTCCCTATATCTGTGTGTGAAATTGTTCCATCCTCAAAAACAAAAAACGAATGCTTCTGCAGTCTAGCTGCAGCTTCAAGCTACGGTCTTCTGTTTAAACACTGAATGTCCTGAATGTGGCATCACTAACAGGACTTGAGTCTGAACACAGCAGACAACAGGAGTATTTACAACAGCATATAACAACTAAAATAGCGCATGTGGATGCACACTTACATTCTCTGTCTTACTGTTACATAAATCCCATGAATGTATGAGATTAAGTTAGCTTCATCATATCTCAATCAGTGGTTAAGTGAATAATAAAGTTTCTATCAGGTTACTATCAGCCTGTCACTCAATATTTTCAGGGAGGGGGCGGGGTTTGGAGGAACAGAGGAGACGGTGATCGCGCAAGCTTTTTTCCTGCCTTCACAAACTTTACACAAGTATTTATCAACTGGAAATAGCAAGAGGACATTCATTCATTAAATCCACCAAAAAACCTGACATGGTGCTAACGTGAGTATTTTTTAAAGTATAAATCCATGTGTGTCTGAGCCGCAGCGACACGGACTGATTCAGGTGCATTTATTGTCGTCGGATTTTGTCTACACAGTCTGTGAACCGCGAGCGGCGAGCTACTGAAAAGCTGTTGAGCTACCGGTAGCTCGCGATCGACGTGTTGGAGACCCCTGCTCTAGATCAGTTGCCAAAGATCGCAGGGGGGGGGGGGGGCGCCAGGCCTCTAGGCCAAATATCATATTTAGACTTTTTTTATTTATTTTTTTTACATATAATTGTAACGCAATACATGATTGTCACTAAAAGCCTTGTCTCTACATTACAATAACATATACAAAATAATTGATTAATAATTTGAATAACAATTCAAGTTAGTATTAAAGGCATAAAAAGACAGAAATGTATAATTCTTTCTATAGAAATGTTTCTTCTGCCCGTAAAGTGTCCAAACCAGGCTTTTCTGGATAAGCGCATTTTTAAAACATAGTCATTGTCCATGCCGGTCTCAGATTATTTGTCACTGTTGCTCCGATCAGATCGGTCTCCTCCATTTTGTAGATTATTTACGACTTTTGAATCCACATAAACACATCGGCAAAATCCGGTTTACTTTGAGCATGTGTTTTAAACAGTTTCATCCCTTTGTGAATTGTTTCCACTTGCGCCGTCCTTTCATTTCTTCATAAAGCGGGAATCCAAATGAATGAATCCTGAGTCCAATAGCCATCAAAGTCACTCCAATAGTGCTCCTTAATTACGCTTTCATCCTCCTTTAACAAAATACTTCACATTCATCCAGTTTGTGACAGTAGTTGTTGCATTTTGAGACTTTTAAACTTTAATTACCGCTGTTGCTCCCCCCCTCCCCTTGTGTGTGGGTGGGGGGGGGGGGGGGGGGTGCAACTTCCAACAGAAGTCATTTGGGGGGGCTCTTGGGGTAAAAAATTGGTTGGGAACCCCTGCTCTAGATGATAGGAAAGGAGCTTCAATGCTTCCTTTGTTATCTCCTTGAGCCTAGGATACATTGCACCATCCTTTACAATAAGGAAAGGAGAAAATGCTTTCCCACAATTCCTTGCAGCTGCGACATTTGAAAAGATGCAGCATTCAGATGTTCCCTTCTGTATACAATTAAACACAGGAATTTCACTATACTGTCTTTCTAATAATGCCTCAAGCTATTTCTTGCTATGTAATATGTATGTTCACTTCTATTAGCATGTGCTGTGTTGTTAGCCTCTATGTTGCATGTTTCTAATGAGTTGATTACTTTTCTTTAGGGTGACTTGCTAAATCTGTCCAAAACTACTGATGGAAATGTGCCTTGTTTGAATGGTGGTATACACAGTGTGTAGGCCTTATAAGTTATGCATATATTGCATTAAGTACTATTTATTTTTAAAACAAATGTACGCAATCATACTAACTGGGATTCAGGAGGATTAATTGGAGTGGACAGCAGAGCTAGCAACAATTTAATTATAAAATCTTGATTCAAACCTTGATAATGAAGTAACATATCTTTCCAGTTTATAGAGCTGCATGAAAGAAGTATTAGGATGCATTTGTAGTTGTCCATTCACGGAAAAAGGTAGTTTGCCCACATGTTGATGTGTAAATGTAGTCTCTTTTCCTAAGTCCTTATGAATCCTCCTTCACATCGTTCCGTAACCCCTTGATCTTTTCTCTGAGGTTAAGGACAAGTGGTTTGGAAAAGACGTAGGATCTGATTTGTTTGAGGATTCGACCAGAGCCAAAGTGTCTCCAGTAGGACTCAGATGAGGGTGTTGCACTTTTATTTTCCTTATACATGTGATGTTTTGGTGTTTTGTTTCTTTCCGTTAACCGTCAAGTGGGAAATAAGTATTTTTTGTGTGTGTTTCTCTTAGTATCCTAAGATACTGTTATGTTTGGCTGTGAAAAAATAAATTATTATTATGAAGGGCAGACCATCTATTTGTATTTATTTGTTTTTTTAGAAAGGGGCAGGTCACATAAGATGTTATTCTTCTCCCTGCTCCTTTTCGCTAAATGGTAGAGTCATGTTTTGTGGCAATTATTGTACATTTGGTTTTGCGTACCATGAGCGGGACAAATAAAAATGAAATGAAATAAGCAGCAGGTGAGGTCTTTCAAAAAAGCTGCTCTTACTGCCTCCCTGTAACCATATTGATTTATCAGTAGACTTTTATGAACATCCATTGATTTTGTCCAAAGCATAAGGGAATAATCAAATCATGAGTACATATGGAGCGACCCACAATAAAGCTTTTATGCTTCCCTGATATTGTGCATGCTGCTGGGCCACTCTCCAGTATTACTGCGAGAGTAAGGGGATTACTTCTGTCTAAATTGACATCTTATCCCAGATACAGAGATGGAGGAAATCAGGTTTACTGTACCTTAACAATGTCTTCATTGGAGGACTTGCACTGCACAAAGGCAGAGACGTCAGTGACGGCTCCATTCATCTCTATGGAGACCATCTTGACAGGAATAGCCACTGTGCGTCCGGTCAGAATCGCTGTGTTGATGATTTCAGTGTCCTATGGAGAGAGGGGAAAATATATATTTATAAAAGTACTTTTCACACACAGAATGAAGCTCAAAGTGCTTCAACAATATGGCACATTACACAAGATAAACGGTAGATAAGACATTACATTCAAGCATTATGACATGACATATAGATATATATGGCAGATGCTATTAACACCCGGGTGTCAGTAGCTAACGCTATTTGCACCCGGGCTACACATTAGATACTGTTTTGGATGTATAGGTATATATGGAAATGTTTCTTTGATAACTTCATTCCCTTGTGCTGCTGCGTCGTAAGGCACTTATTATCTTAAGCACTGTAGCTATTTACACCCGGGTGTTGTACTGTATGCATCTCTTCTTGCTCTTTCTACGATCGCTTGGTAAGGTTACCTGAACATCAGGGACAACAAACACCTGTGCTATATTGTGAACATGGCTGTAAGGTAATACATGTCCCACAGACCCCCCTGATGAAAGGGGGTTAATTAATCTAAATGAAGTTATGAGACGTGATGTTTACGTTTTTTGGGGTGGGTGTAAATAGCTGCCGTGTGTCTATTTACACCCGGGTGCAAATAGACACTCCGTATATACTATACAGTATATACAGATAACCCATTCAGTGAAAGTGAAAAAAATAGGACAAAATTAACAAGTACTATAAAATAATTTAGAAAAATGTATAGAGCAAGAAGGAATATTAATAAAATAAGATTGTAATAATAATTAATAATTAATTAAATAAGACCCAATGAATAAAGGAATATGAATAAAACGATGAAAACTATTTCAATTAATAAATAATAATCATAATCATAACAATTAAATGAGTGCATTGTTTAAATTAGTTTTTCCCCCTTATATGTTCTGGTGTGGTGTTACACTTTTTCAGAGCATAGTGGATGAAACCCTTTTCCCCAATTTCATTTTCGGGGACTTTTGGTGTATTTTAAAAACCCACTGTTGAGGTTTTTAAGGCTTGTACAGGAAAATAAAACAATAGAGGCTCAGTGAAATAAGAGAGCTTTGTAGAGGGATTTTAAAATTAACTCTACAAGATGAAGTGTAGCTTAAACACTTAAATGACCTCTCTGTTAAATATTCATAAAACAGTGAGAGGTAGTTGTTATTTCATCACCATTACTGAGCTGCTGGGCCTCACAGGTGAACTCATTTCACTCTTTCACTGCATTTCATCAACTGACATTTTAATTTCACTGAGCATCTGCAAGTGACATAATTTGAAGATAATCTTAGCCTTAAAATTATTCCAGGAAGCTCGTTTTTCGAGTGTGGTCGGACGCGGTAAATCCCAGCATCAAGCTTTAAAGTTCAAACCGCATAAAAGACGTGACATTTACTGTACTGTTCCCCAGGATCTGATGCAAACTCCATGTGCTATAAGACGAGGAAAAATAAGTGGAGATTTGACTTGAAGACGAGTTCAAAACAGATGGATGCTCTTATCAAAGATGTACACTACAACTCCGGAAAATGCTACAGGAAGTGTTTCTGTCACTATGATTAAGAGTCAACTGTAATGTTTATGGAAGGAAGTATGACTAAGAAAATACCCAGAATGTTCTTTTCCAATAGAGGCGAAGTCACGCCCATCTACTTCCGACCCATGGGACCTTATTTCGGAAAAATTATGTATTGAAGTCAATGGAGAGAGAAAGATTATCTTTCGATCCCGTTTGAATTGTGCCATGAATTACACATATGATGTTTGTCAATTTAAAAAAATTATTTCCATGTCAAAAAAGTCACATTTTGTCGTAAAACTGTTGAAATATAAGACTATGAAAAATACGCAACTAGAAAGACTACAAATCCCAGAGTCCCGGTCCCGCATGCTGGCTCTCACGGAACCGACTAACTCCCCTTGTGTGTATGCACAGCTCTCAACGTGCCCAGACTTGGAGTGATTTTCACCTCTTAATACTTTCCGCCTCATTCTGAGAGAAAGAAGTGAGATGTTTCAACGTGACGGCCGTCTTGGTGTGTGGTGCGAGACAGGAGATGTAGTTCATTGAGCAGTTTCACACAAAAAAAGTGTTACTTCACAGTTTTACGACACATTTTTATTTTTTTGACTTGAAAATTATCTTTTAAATTGACAAACATCATATGTGTAATTCGTGGCACAATTCAAACGGGATCGAAAGATAATCTTTCTCTCCCCATTGACTTCAATACATACTTTTTCCTAAAAAAGGTCCCATGGAGGAAAGGGAGGGACTTCGCCTCTCGATCCCAATTCTGGCTCAACCATGTATGTTAACGTCACAATGAAAGGACCTTATTTCATGTTTTATATGACTGTTTTTTGCTGCTAAATACTCCACTCAGAAAACAGTTTTTAGTTTGAACCATTTTCCCATTTGGGTATTTTACGGTGGCCGATTTTTCAGGCATTTATTTGTTAATGAACTTCTGTTTAGGCTTAAGACAAACCAATAAATAGACTCAGAAATCTACTTATTGTATGTACTCAATACTCTCCTTCACACTGCAGCAGTAACTGTTGAAATCCCAAGTAATGTTTAACAAAAAAGACCATTAAAACTCTCTAAACCACTCAGTTATATATCCCTCGCTTGCACCAATTAGAGAAATAAGCTTTTACTTATTTAGAAAAAAAGATAGGGATGACATATTGAAGGCATTAATGAGTAAAATATGCAGTTACTTTCAGATACATGGGGACAGTGACTTTTATCCGTATCCGTTTTTAATTCTTCATCTTATTTCACACAGAAGGATCTTCCCCAGACTTTAAAGGGCCCTGTATCTTCTGGAGCATTTGTAAGGCTTTTTAAACCTCTATCTTAACCACAGAGCTTCTTTTAGTAAGTCAAATCAGAGCAGAACAAGGCCCCTTTTTGTTGCCTTAAAACAATCTATATACTTATTATATTATATTTCAGACCATTTTCAAAGGCTTAAAGATGTCCTTGATGCCAATCACATCAGCCAGAACGTTGTTTTTTATCATTAAATAAGCAATTTGATTTATTCTGACTTAT